CCCCAAAACCCCAAAACCCCAAAACCCCGAGCTGCATTATAGTATTCTCAAGAATGTTAAGTATTATATTTTATAAAATGATTAAATTTCTACCATTAACTAAACTCATATTCAGAAACTAATCTCTTACTTATTCTTCTCAATTTGAATTCTCAAGGTCAGCAAGGCACCCTTAGAGGAGTGTACTGAAAAATAAAGCGAAAAAATCTCAGTCAATTGATAAAGAAGAACATTAAACTCAAAAAGGTGATAACTTAAAAGATTAAGCAAGCAGAAATATGGCTTAATAAAACAAATCTACTATGCCAGTAGTCAAAAGAGTTGAAGGTAAATTTGATATCTTAGATCCTAAGTAATCCAAATACGCTATTGAAAGTATTGAAAAGAATAAGTAAATAAAGTAGTAAAGAACTGAAGCTCCCAAATTTTTGAAAAATGAGGAAATGTACAAAGATTTTACAGCAAAAGACTTTCAACAAGAAAACCCTGAGATAGTTAAAGAGAAGGAGAGAATTGAAAGAGAACATGAAAAAAGAAGGCTTGAGGCTATGGCAAAGAAAAATCCATTAGGATTTTAAACCAAGCCAAAGAAAGAGCAGAGAAAGATATCTATGGATCCGATAGCTAAAAAGGTTGCGTTAGATGAGCATAGAAGAACTCTATAAACTTTTGATAGATTCAACGAGGACTTTGTGACAGCATATATATCTGAAAAGTCTTAGAAAAAGATTTAAGCCCTTAACAAGTAAAATGAAGCACCAATTGACTAGTTTGTGAATGTAGCAAATGTAGATGAATTTGTGAAGCCGGAAAGAGTGTCAAAAAGACTTGCTAGAATGGGAATATGTTCAAGAAGAGTAGCCGAAAAGCTAATTGAATAGGGTATGATTAGAGTAGATGGCTAGCAAATAGATCAAAATATGCAGGTAACAAATCAAAACTTACTGTAAATATCTGCCAAAACTGGAATTTATACTCCTGTGAAAGAAAATACCAGAATCTGGCTTTATCACAAGCCTAGAGGAATGGTTACCACGCATGCAGATACACACGGTAGAATGACTGTGTTTTAGTAACTCTATCAAGAAGGCTTAAGAATTCCTCATGTTATCAGTGTAGTATGTATATTTTCTAATTGATTTTATCTTAGGGAAGACTTGATTATCTTTCAGAGGGATTACTAATTATAACTAACGATGGTGAACTTGCTCGAGCATTAGAGATGCCTATTCATTCAATAGAGCGAGTAAATATAAATACAATTATTTCTTTAGAGTTACAGAGTAAGAGTATTTGGAAGAATGTTCAATGAGTAAAAATTAATGAGGATAAGATAAGGAGTAACAATGAATGGATAATTTTATGGACCTTATATTGTAAGATACTTATTAGCTTTTAATATAGCATTTATAGTGTGAAGTTGAGAATAGACAAAATACAAATACATGGCTGCATATTAAACTCAATACAGGAAAAAATAATGAGATTAGAAAAGTAATGAGGAAATTTAGTCTCAGAGTTAATAGACTTATTAGAGTGACTTATGGCCCTTATACATTAGGTTTAGTTCCTAATCCTAATGATCTCAGAGAAGTATAGATAACTCCTGATTTAAGAAAAATAATGTATAAGTATTTCAAAGATAGAACGTAGACAGCCTAAACAGCAATATCAGATGCATAGAGTTAGAAACTAAGACTTCAAAATAAACTGGTTGATTAATTAATTGGATCAGATAATAATAAAGGAGTTATGGAATCCAAATTCAAACATATTGAAGCTTACGAAGATAGTGATAAGGAAGAAATAGAAGTTAGTGAGGATGAGGAAGAAATGTACATTGAAGAGGTAAGTTTATCCAGCAGATCAAAAGGTTTTGGTTCATCCATTCTTAATGATGAAGATGAAAAAAGCCTTAAGTAATGAAACGATTCAATATAAAAACTCTAATCTTAGTGCCAACTGTTCAATGATGAAGAATATATTGAAATCAATATCTAATTAAATTAATTAATGTAATTGCTCAATAAAAAAAAATTTAATTTATTTTAATGGGGTTTTGGGGTTTTGGGGTTTAGTGATTTTAGGGAATCA